TCAAATCATCTATGAATCAAGACTTGGGTCTCCGAGGAATGATTTCTTTATTTCTCTTAGATCAACCAGATCCGATTCTTTACAGAGGACAGTATTAAACATAGACGAAGTATCAATCTCTCGAACTATGGATCTCAACAACAGTAAAAGCAGTAACTAGAGAATAGGAAACCTATGTAAAACTAGAGAGATAGCTGGTTGGGGGCAGCCTCTATCTTATTTATAGAGATTTTACTGATTCCAACACGCTCTTAGATATTTTAGCTGAACCACTTAACCTTAGGGGTATAATGGTCCAACTTGAGATATGTCCATTCGATGGCCACAGACTCTTCATGACTTTGCTTTGCCTCATTGAAAGCTTCACGATAACGCCACTTGTCTCCTCTCGTTCCCGCTAGAACTCCAACCGGGTTTGGAGGCCCAAACACGAAAACCATCCAGTCGGTGGTTTTGAGGCCAAACTATCAAACCACCTAGAGAAGCGCCTCCTCCACGATCTCGACACATGACAATGTTATCCTCGACCATTCGATCACCAAGTCCTCCAGTGCCTCTGCTTGACTTGGTCAACACGGTCAACTCCTCCACATGTAATCTTGCTTGTTTGATGTCCCCAAGTGTTTTACACCACGATCAGTCTTCCGGCCATCTTGGTCCCTCGGTCCAAGCCTCACATCCGTCCTTCACCGCTTCTAGTTCATCGGCACGGCACGTCAATACTTGACATTTTCCATGTCCGTCAATCATCCCTGAGCTCCACACCTGCACATCAACACAGTAGAGACATGTTGCACACGCATACTCACGCCATAATTAGTCTCCAAACTCAACCAAAACCGATCATCTTCTGACAATACTCATCACAAACTCTACATACAAGGGCACATATCAACCTTGTGTTCGCATAGTAAAAAGAAACTAAGCTCTCTTGGCAGCAACCAACAATCAAACTATCCAAAATTTTCTTTTAAGTCCATTTTAGTTGACTGGTGATGCTGCTTTTTTTGCGGATCAAGTGCTCATCGTTTTCCTGAAGAAAAAGATAGATATGAATAAAGTTGGTCCTTAGCAGCCTGCAGCAAGCAGCCACAGCCACCTTAGTCGACACACGACTGCGGCCCCAGCCCCCACACTCGAGAGTCCACGCTCATAGTGCCAAATAGGCAAATAGGCATTCTTTCTTTTTACCGTTCCGAAAACGACCCAACACATTGCGGAGACTCAAGAGTCGAGACGAGCGTTGGTCAGCGAGTAAATCCATAAGCTCTGCTTGGGGATGGCCCATATAATCTCGGCTGCTTGCTCACCAAAGTAGTCAGATGCTAAAGGTACCTTTACAGGACGGTCTCCAACAGCCTAGCCATTACAGCACCCAAATCCAAAAATGGATGGGAGTCCGAGCACAACCCAAATTCACGTTACTTTTGTGACAATAAACGGGGTCCAAAAGAGTAGGCAAAAGCGGTACCAATTTTGGATGGGAGTCCGGGCACAACCCAAAAATGCATGGTTCACGTTGCTTTTGCGTCTTCCGCTCGCATGGCTAGAACCGTGTCCGGCCGCATGCTGCTCCTAGCTCCAGCAGATTTGGCGTTGCTGTTGGAGAAGGCAGCTTTTAGGTGCATGACCCTTTTCTTTCAGTGAGACACATACTATAAATAGGTCTCTTGAATAGGGTCGTGTGGTTGGAGACAGTCTAAGCCATTGAAATTGCACATGCTAGCCTTCTAGTGCAGAATAACCCAAACGTTACTATCAACTCACCAATCTCACTATAGTATCATTTTTGTGTGGGCCGTCCTAATGCAGTTTTAAAGCAATAACATAGTTCTATTATTTTAGTGCGACAGCTTAGACCATCTCGTGTTAGAGAAAAAATAAAATAGCTTTCTATATGTGGCGATGGTAAAATACTTTCTTTTTTCAAATTCCAACTACAATATGACACGCGCAGAGTAGGCACCCTGTCACAGGTTACAAATAAACCACTAAAAACACTTATGTGAGCCATGACGCAATCAGGAGTAGAGCCAAATACACACACACACACAGAGAGAGAGAGGGTCAAAGAGATTTGATATGTGAACTGAGCGTAACTTATCTATTTAGGTTTTTATGGTGCAACCTGACAGGGTTAGTCATCGATCTAGCTGCTTCTATTTTCCTAGACTTATTTTAATATCTGATGACTGAACAATGTTATTCTTCCAATGGTAGATGACTATGTCTGTTGACAACATGATGCATATGGTGACTCGTGAATCTTAAGATCTACGGCTTAGTATTTTGGATGTGCTCATTGTGGGGTAGTATGTGTATTTGATCCTAAGAGTCAGTGTGTGCATAATGTTCACCTTTGTGCTGTGAACTATAGCCAATGCAAGTTTCGTTGTCCATTGCTTCACCGTGGATGGTGTGCACGGCAAATTTCAATGCACCTTCAATGCGGATTTCTCCATTTCCTTTTATGAGAAGAGAGCGACATTTCGAGCAATTTTGCGTTCACGCGAGCTAGTGTAACTGTTCCTTTTAGAGTTTCAGTGGTGTGACTTGTTACTTGCATTGAACCGTTCGTTTCTCCATTTCCTCTTACGAAAAGAGAGCAACTTTTTGATCAATTTTGCGCTCACGTGAGCAAGTATAACTGTTGCCTTTAAAGTAGTTTTCTCCATTTCCTTATACGAAAGAGAGCAACTTTTCAATCAATTTTGCATTCACGTGAGCAAGTATCACCATTTCTTTTAAAGTTTCAATAGTGTGATTTGTTACGTATGAAGCAACCATATATGGGAGGATCGGTTATAACCTAGCAATTATGGGGTCTGGACAGATGCTAAAACCATACAGCGTGATTATGTTTAGCCATCCCGTAGTGCAAGATTTCCTATGCAATTTTGGAGGTCTCAATTGTCAACATAATGGAAGAGTTGTGTTTTTTCTAGATGCATAGTTTTTACTCACTCCGTTTCATATTATAAGTCATTTTAACTTTTTTAGAAAGTCAAAGCATCTCAAGTTTAACCAAAATTATAGAGAGAATTGCAAAGATTTATATCATCAAATAGGTATACTATGAAAATAAAATTAATGAGCAATCTATTGGTATCATAAATGTTATTATTTTATTATATAAATTTACTCAATTTTGATAAGCTTTGACTCTTGAAAAAAATTAGAATGACTTATAATTTAAGATGAAGTGAGTATTATATATCTTGATATAATATATATCTAGCTGCATAACAAAAATTATGTATCTATAAATGACAGAACGACTTGCTATTTGGAATGGAGAGAATATTTGAAAAATAATCTCTGTCTCTGCATATCATGAATACAGAGGATCCTGAAATTAACATGACCAATAGAGTGACATATGCCGCGTTGTTTAGACATAATAACCAGATAAAATTAACATGATGTAGACATAATACTAACTATAGAAGTAAAGGAACCTGATGCATATTGCGCGTGAGTAATTTGTACGGTTCGGTTCGATGCGCACGTCAAGTTTATTATCACTGCCATCCATGTCCGGATCATTAACTCACCCACGCATGTATACGTACGCCCTTGCATCATCACTGGATGGATGAACACAAACGTGGGCCAATAGGCCTTAAACCTCTCGATGATGATTCTTTCCTTGGCTACCAAGTAGGAATGTAGGATAGCGGGTTGTGCTTGTGCACGACGACCTCGGTCAAAAAGTCCAAGATCCATGCGGCGTTGGTCCCAGGCCCGCAGGCCCGCAGTGAAGAAGCGCGACGACTTTCTCAACGTCTCGTCACCCCGAACGTCACCGGGACCGGATCCTCTGCGGCGTCCGTCGGCAGCCTCTGGGGCGCTCTGCCGCCTGCGCCGTGCGCAGCGGATCCCGAATGATTAGTCTGACCCGAAAACGTCCAACTCCCTAGGTCTCCTGCGGCTTAACCGCCACTCATGGTCAAGGCGACTGCGCTCTGTGCATGCACCTGAATCCTGGTACTGTACGTGGATAATCTTCGCTTTCACATTTGCTTCCCATCAGTGAAAAGGAAATGATCCTTTGGTAAACAACGAACGAATTTCCACCGCGGAGTTCAGTTCGGACCACAAGAAAAAGAGTACCAATATGAGCAATAACTATGACAGAAGTAGCAAACGACGTGGCTGGTTCTGTAATCTGTATAGGTAATGACGTGGCTGTTTCTGTATAGGGGACTACTAGCTAGCTAGGCGAATCGCATCTCTTGCTAGATTTCATTTAAGTGGTCTCAGATAAAAACGCAACAGAGGAAAAGTGCGAACGGCACAAACGGGCGCCCACTTGCCCGCGCGGGGACAATCGGAACGGAAACGGATCGAATATGTGACGGGCGGGCGGGGGACGGCCACGGCCCTTTTGGGTTGCTTTCGGCCGGGAAACCTTTTCTTGTCGTGACAGAGCAGACGAGGCTATGTTGTGTTGCCTTGACCCAGACGAATGTAATCGGCAGATATTCGCCAGCCATATGCTCCGGCTATATCGGTAACAGCACAGCTTGTTGATCATGATAGAGTACAACACAAGAACCGTGGCCACGCGATTGGATGGGAGGTTTGTGTGCGCCGCGCTCGCCTACCCGAGTCGCGGCACGCTATGTGGTGGCGCAGGCGCCAAAGCATGGGGCTGACGCACACTGTACAGTCAGCAAGCAGCTACTAGTAGCTTGCCACGAAAGAAACAGAGGTGCAAATTAAATATATGAGCAGATGGGTTTCGTCCCCAGATACATTTTGGTCACGCTCACGCACCTGCAAGGCTGTAACCAGACGCAGGCTTCTTCGTTGAAACTTCGCCTTCTCGGTTGCCTGCCTGGTACCTCCTGCGCCGCAGGCAGACACGTATATATAGCAGCGCAAACACTAGCGGCCACACCACAACCTCCTCGCTCTCGCTAGTCGCTCCATCACCGTTCACCAAAGAGCCCAAGACATCCGCCGCCCTCCTCTGCTCGCGCGCCGGCGCCGCACGCATGGCTGCCTGTGTCGACAAGTGGCACCCCACGCACGCCGGCCGCCTCTCCGGCGCCATCTACCGCTTCTTGCCGGACGGCGCCACGGACCGCGCGGTGGTCACCACCGCGCCGGCGTCCGCGAGCGGCGGCGGCGACGACGTCTGGGACGAGCTGCGCGCGGAGGCGCAGGCCGACGCGGACGCCGAGCCTCTGCTCCGCAAGTTCTATGGCGACCTCGTGCTGTCGCGCCAGTCGCTGGAGGCCGCCCTCGCGGCGCACCTGTCGGCCAAGCTCTGCGTCCCCGGCGTGCTGCCGCAAGACGCGCTGCGGGACCTCCTGGCGGCCGCGCTGGCCGCGCACCCTGACGCCGGCCGCGCTGCGCGCGCCGACCTCCGTGCGGCGCGCGACCGCGACGCGGCCTGCGAACGGATGGTGCACTGCTTCCTCTACTACAAGGGCTTCCTCGCCCTGCAGGCGCACCGCGCCGCGCACGGGCTCTGGTCCGAGGGCCGGTCCGCCGCGGCGCTCCTCCTCCAGAACCGCGCGTCCGAGGTGTTCGGCGTCGACATCCACCCGGGCGCGCGCATTGGCTCGGGCATCCTGTTCGACCACGCCACGGCGATCGTCATCGGCGAGACGGCCGTCGTCGGGAACGACGTCTCCATCCTGCACGGCGTCACACTCGGCGGCACGGGGAAGGAGTCCGGCGACCGGCACCCCAAGGTCGGGGACGGGGTGCTGATCGGCGCCGGCGCCAGCGTGCTCGGCAATGTGCGGATTGGAGCCGGGGCGAAGATCGGAGCTGGGGCGGTCGTGCTGCGGGACGTGCCGGAGGGAACCACGGCCGTCGGGAACCCCGCAAAGGCGGTCGGGAAGAAGGCGGCGCCGCAGCGGCGGCGGCCGGAAGAGCAGCCCGGGGTGACCATGGAGCAAGGGTCGTCGGACTACGTGATTTGAAAACTGTCAGAGGGTCTGGATGCAAATATTTAGCGCAGGAGAAGGAGAGTTTCCCTCCAAATGATATTTGTGGTCGATGGCCACCGCTATTTCTGCAATAGTGCTGCTATTGCCTACACTACGGACTACAGAGAGAGCTGCATTGTCATATGCCATTGCATAAGAGGGAGAGGGAGCTCAATTAGGCATTGAGCCCTAGAGCAAGTCCATATTTTTTCTGTTCTTTTTTCCTTTGTTTTCGGGGATGGAATAACAATACTACTATAGTATGCATCTGATGAGTTATCAAAAATTGTCCAATTATGGACTATTTAGGCTTAAAAGATTTGTCTCGCCAATTACGGATAAACTGTGCAATTAGTTATTCTTTTTATCTACATTTAATGCTCTATGTATGTGCCGCAAGATTCGATGTGACAGAAAATCTTGGAAAATTTTGGATTTTTGGTGAAATCTAAACAGAGCCTATATGCATCTGATAAGTTATCAGTTGCTTGTAGATAAACTTCAAGCTATATTCCTCTGTCTGTATGTTCCGTTTCTACTCCTAAACCATAAAGTTCCGTGCAAAGGATTTGCTATGTTTCAGGTGCCAAAAAGATAACATTTGTTCATGCAACAGCTGTGAGCCATGAGATGAAGATCTAATGAATCAGATATACGAATCTTGAAGCAAGATCAAAGGATCATGTTATCGTCTGAACCAAAGACGCCTACTTTTTAGAAAAAAATGTCACTTATTTGAAAAAAAAATAAGCCTCTGTCCTGCAGGGGACTTTATAGTTTAAAAATATTGTTTAAATGAAAAAACAAAGTTCGAACGGATTATAAAGTTTAGTTAGAGTCATTGATAGTTGAGTCTTGGAAGGGCGGCTTCAAACAAAGCAGAGCATAAACTACCGTAACCATATCTGAAAATTGACTGGCCAGCAATAAATCAGCTGTTCCATCGAGACTTGGACTGCTTGTCTTGGCCCAAACAAAATCAGCAGTAGCATTTTCGCATTTAGGCCTTATTTAGATTGCAAGTTTTTTCACTCTCTCTTTATCACATTAAATCTTTAGACACATGCATGGAGTATTAAATGTAGATAAAAAAATAACTAAACACGTTTGATTATAAATTAGAGGATGGATATTTTCTGTAGGTTGTCGGATAATTGTGTATGCACATATTGATAGTTGAGTCTTGTAAGGGCGGCTTCGAATAAACAGGTGCTTCAGAGCATAAACTACTAGGGTGTTTATATTTGAAAATTGAGTTTTTTGGCCAGCAATAAATCATTTTTGTTCCATCGAGATTTGGACTGCTTGTCTTGGTTGTAAAACAAAATCAGCAGTAGCATTTCCGCATTTGAATTGGAGAAACGAATAATTGACGTGAGGTGCTAAGCAGAGAAATAAGTACTACTAGTTGAGAATCTTGGTGAAAGAGGTCAGCCTGCCCCCAAGTGGACGTGGCTGATGGCTACCCGTACCGGATGAGAGGGATCGATGTCGCAGCCAGTGGCTTTTATTCGAAAGCGGAGGAGGGGAATTGAGTTATGATATTGTAGGAAGATTTCTGCGAAGTCAGCTCTGAGGACGGTAGAGTAGTACTGTAGGTTTTTGGTTGCTTGGGTGCACCGCCTTGGATTGAATGCTGATTCTCTGAATTCTAGAGGAATCGAATGCCTTCCCCTCGCTGACGAGGTCGCCGGAACGGGTAGCATACATTGGACGGCCGCCGGAAAGGAATCTCGGCATGCACACGGCACTAGCCAAGTGATCGCCGCCTTGAGGCATGAACCTATATACATAGATAGTCCATGAAGGTCGTTCGTTAGTAGGGAGATGGCAAAACCAAGATGGCTGGCAGATCAGAGGACCAAAGGGCGCGCCTACTGCGGAGAATGGGGAAAGAGTCGTGGGAAGAGGAATGGCGAGGATGGTCAGATTCGATGTGTGTGCAAGTTGGGCTGCCCCGGCTCGGACCACTCTGTGGTGATCGCTTGATGACATGACAGGCTAGCCCAAACAAAAGCTCGTGGTTGTATGGGCCCTTTCTGTTGCCTCCCCCAAGACCCACGTAGCCCGAATAGCTTCAGCACGGGCCTGAAGTTGGCCAATTCATCCTTTTGGCACGGCCCGTCTGCTCTATGGACCCGACCCACGCCGCAACAGAAGAAGCTGTATTTATGCAGGAAAAGTCTATTTTACCTGCTGAACTATCTTCAAAGTTTAGTTTTTTTTCCTGAACTCAAAAACCGGGTAAACCACCTCTCTCAACTTTTAAAACCATTTATTTTAACTCCCTGACCCAATTATAGGTGGTTTTCAAAGACGATTTTTTCTTTTTTTATTTATTTTGACTAAATATTTTAAAAATCATAGTAAATCACAGAAAAATCATAAAATAAAAAATCTAATTTTTTTGACTTCACATGAGTAGATCTACACAATAAACAAATAACATGGTATGCTTTAAGTATAAAGTTTTTGCTGTAGCTTTAGATCTATGCTTTTCTGTAATTAATTCATAGCTGTAGTTTCTGTGGTCCAATTGTGGTCAAATTTTTATGATGGTCTAATTATTATATGCTTTAACTGTAGTAAAAATTTCATGCTTGTATATATTTTTACACACTTTTAACTATTTTAAAACTATTTGACAAGCATAAAATTAAATAAATCTATAGGTTACACATGATCCAATGAGCATGAAACTTTTACTATAGTTTAATCATATAATAATTAGCTGACCATAAAAATTTCACCACAATTGGACCATATAAACTGCAGCTTTGAATTAATTACAGAAAATCATAGATCTAAAGCTAGAGCAAAAATTTTATACTAAGGTATACCATATTATATATTCACCTGTAGATCTACTCATGTAGAGTCCAAAAAAAATTAGATTTCCCATTTTATGATTTAGTGTGATTTTTAAAAATTCAGCCGAAATAAATAAAAAAGAAAAAGACAAAACCGACTTTGGAAACCACCTATAATCGGGTTAGGGAGGTAAAATGAGCGGTTTTAATAGTTGTGGGAGGTAGTTTACCGGTTTGGAGTTTAGGAAGGAAAACTAAACTTTGAGGATAGTTTAGGGAGGTAAAATGCACTACTACACAAAATCTTTTGCGCGGCGTTTTCAAAATAGCCTCGGAGGCGGGTGGTACGGTTGCCCGCCTCGATTATTCGAGGTAGGGCAGCCGGGCCAGCGACTGCCTCGATTAATGCTTAACTGAGACCGACATTGTAACGTAACCACCTCGGTTAATATTTATTAACCGAGGCGGTTGTGTTAGGATAACTGCCTCGGTAAATGTATTGACTGAGGCGGGTATTGTAATGTAACCGCCTTGGTTAATATTGTGTTAGGATAACCACCTCAGTTAATGGTAGTTACGTTACAATGCATGTCTCGGTTAATAGATATTAACCGAGGTGGTTTTTATAAGGCAACCGTCTCCGTAAATCCATTTACGGAGGCAGGCACACTATAAAGGCCCGCCTTGGTAAATACTTGCCCAACTAAGAGCCCAGATAGCCCATCTCGGTTTGATATCGCTCTCAGCGTATATATACCGCACTTAGGGTTTCATTCACACCCATCCAAACTCTCTCTCCCTCTCTCTCATGGCACCGCATCTGACGGCGGCTCCTCCCACACTCTCACCCGACGGCGGCTCCTCTCTCTCACTCACTCGCCTCCTCCTATCCCTCTCTCTCTCAACCTCACCTCTCTCTAAGCCATGGACAACCGACGATATCGGCCGGCCCAGCCGGGCAGCGTGCGGCTCGCGGGCCCTGTCCAGGTGTGCGACGGCACTCCCAGCTTCGGCGTGCGGCATCCTGCTCCGGCTCCCGGCGTGCGTCGTCCCTCCTCCCCCGGCCAAATCTGGTGGCACGCTGCGCGGGGGAGCCACCTCCCTCCTCCCTCTTGGCAGCGGCGCGGATCTGGTGGCTCGCAGCGCGGGGAGCCGCCTCCCTCCCGGCGGCGGCGTGGATCTGGTGGCGCGCATCGCGGGGGAGCCACCTCCCTCCCGGCGGCGGCGCGGGGAAGCCACCTCCCTCCTCCCGACCAGATCCAATGGCGGCACGGGCGGGGAACGCCAGATCCGGCTCCAACTTGGCATGGGGACGCCGGATTTAGCTCGCGTCGGCAGCGCGAGGGGATGCGGCGGCGCTAGGCCGCGCGGAGCAGGCGAGCCCGCCGGTGGGCTCTGAAACGGGCTCGTCGGCTCTAGGCTTTTTTTTAATTCATTAACTGAGGCGGTTACCTTATTCCGACCGTCTCGGTTAATTGATTAACTGGGGCGGTTAGCCAACCGCTTCCGTGAAGGCACGATTAACCATGGCTTTTCGTTGGAGGTGGTTAGAAAAACCATCTCGGTTAATCCGAAATGCCCGCGTTTTGTGTAGTAGTGATGGGCCACACTACGGTGGCCGGAGAGCTGGACCGTTCTCTTCCCTTGGGCCTAGTGGGCTGCGGACTCGCCCAAAACCTGGGCACGTCCACGAGGTCCGATCCCTCCGCCGAACTCGTGGCTCATGGTCGCGTCGAGGTTTCGTCATCAAACCTCGAGCGTCCAAGCAAAAACTCCAGTTCGCTTCCCTTCCAGAATAATGAAAGCACAAGCAATGTCCCCATGCCACGCCCGCCGCGCCGCGTGAGGCCAAGCATGCGCTCCCAAGCCGGGCGCCACCAAACCCCGCGCGCCCTTCCATCGGTTCGATCGATCCCGGCCCCCCGCCACACACGCAACCAAGCAAAAAGCCCACGAGCCAGGACACACAGGTACCGCATCGGGGCGTAAGCCAAGGGGCTCGGGTTCAAGAGCTACGGCCCAACCACGGCGACGACGACGACTCTTCCTTCCCCCGTTCCCTTACCTCTCGGCCAGTCTCGCTCTTACCTAAGCACGCACCGCCAACAGTAGAGCTGTTAGCCGCTGCTGCTTGTCGCTCTGGCCTGTCGTTTCATCCCCTAGCAAGCTTTGGCCAAAAATTCT